CTACTGCTATTGCTATTGCTATCTCTATCTCTATCTCTATCTCTATCTCTATCTCTATCTCTATCTCTATCTCTATCTCTATCTATCTATCTATCTATCATCTATCCATCCATCCATCCATCCATCCATCCATCCATCCATCCATCCATCTCTATATATCTGTATCTGTATCTGTATCTGTATCTGTATCTGTATCTATCTCTATCTCTATCTCTATCTCTCTATCTATCTATCTATCTATCTATCTATCTATCTATCTATCTATCTATCATCTATCCATCCATCCATCCATCCATCCATCCATCCACCCATCTCTATATATCTGTATCTATATCTATATCTACAGGGACACAGTGGCTCAGTGGCTAAGATGCTGATCTTGTCAATCAGAAAAGTTGGCAGTTCGAATCCCGAGCACCGCTACCAACCTAGCAGTTCGAAAGCATGTAAAAAATGCAAGTAGAAAAATAGGAACCACCTTTGGTGGGAAGGGAACAGCGTTCCTTGCACCTTCAGTATTGAGTCATGCCGGCCACATGACCACAGAGACGTCTTCGGACAGCGCTGGCTCTTCGGCTTTGGAACGGAGATGAGCAGCGCCCCCTAGAGTCAGGAACGACTAGCACATATGTGCAAGGGGAACCTTTACTTTTAACTTTTTTAGTCTAGGGAAAAGAAGGACTAGGAGGGACATGATAGCAGTATTCTAATATTTGAGGGGCTGTCACAAAGAGGAGAGGATGAACCTATTTTCCAAAGCACCAGAAAGCAAGACAAGAAACCATGGATGGAAACTCATCAAGGAGAGAAGCAAGCCTGGAATTAAGGAGACATTTCCTGACAGTGAGAACAATTAACCAGTGGAACAGCTTGCCACCAGAAGTCGTGGCTGCTCCATCCCTGGAGGTTTTTAAGAAGAGACTGGACAGACACTTGACTGAAGTGGTCTAGTGTAACCTGCTTGAGCAGGGGGCCGGACTAGAAGACCTCCAAGGTCCCCCCCAATCCTGATTCTGACAGACAACAACAGCAACTTACCTACGTATTCATCCATGTTGAATGTCTTCACATATTTAAAAGAGAGATCTCCTCTTTTGTGATAGTCTATCAGCTTCCGGTAGCATCCCAAGGGTGTGCTTCCTGTGTCAAGCAAATGGTTTCATTACGCACTAAGAAAAATATTTTGCAATTCGAATTGCAAAAGAGATGTGTCGATCGCAAGTCCGCTTATAATTACTGTATTTTTTTTTTCAATTTTTATTCGGAGTATAAAACTCTCCTCGTGTCTAGTTGTTCTGGGGTGCAGTGCCCTATAGCAGAGATGCCCAACCTTTTTGCAAACATGTGCCAAAATTTTGCATGCATGCGCGACGGTGCGCTCTCATGACCCACACCCACAACACAATGCTCCCCGCCCACTTGTGCATGCCCAAGGGGATCAGTTTTTGGCTTCCAGGGGGCTGGGAAAAGTTTCCAAACTTCCAGTTGGCCAGTTGGGCCTGGTTTTTTTGCCCTTCCAGGCTCCGGAGGCTTTCCCGAAGCCTGGGGAGGGCGAAAGCCCTCCAGGTGGCCGAAAATCACACTTGCCATGATTTGTTTAGCAGATTGATGGCTTTCGGGGTGGAAACTGTCCTTTGTCCATGTAAGTAGCATTTAAAACATTTAGGGTAACCACCGTCCATGAACCCATAAAGAGATCCAATTCGCCGCTAGATTCTTCTGTTCTTTGGTTTCAATTAGCTTAAAT